CAGGAGGATGTGCGTAGGTTATATGCAAATATCATGCCATTTTATATGAGGGACTTGAGCATCTGCAGATTTTGTAACTGTGGAGGTCCTGGAACGAGTCCCCCAGGAATACAGAGGGATGACAGTTCTTGGTAAGATTGAGGAAAGAACCAACAGAGTTGAGTGAGTACTAATTACATTTGGGAATTTTTTCCCCCAGTGCTGGGGATTGAACCCCAGGGTATTGTGCACACTAGACAAATGTTCTAACACTAAGCTACATCCCCAGCTACTAGGTTACATTAGAATACATTGCATAGTGCTTTCCAAAGTGCTTTCACATGTGTTATTTAAGGTGGTAGTCTTAAGGACTATGGAGGGATGTAACCCTTTCTTTCTGAAGACAAAACTGAGGCTGAAAGAGGTTAAGTGACCTGTTACTTGAGTGGTGTTAGACTTCTAATGTAATGCAGAAGGAGGACTGAAACACTGAAGTTCTAACTTAGAATTCTCTTTTCCTTCTAAAATACCTCTAATATTTGTACTCAGTGTAATGAGCCAGCCACATGGTCAACAAATCAGACAAAATCTCTACTCTCTTAGTTCTTATAGTCTGATGAAAAAAAGTACAGGGGTGTGTATGTGTGTGTATGTGTGTGTGTGTGTTTTCAAAACTGGGAATGGAACCAAGAGCTTCTCACATGCTAGGAAAGTGCTCTACCATTGAGCTATACTCTCAGCTCTTTTCCCCCTATTGTTGTCTACCTCAGGGTAGAGGGGAAAAATTCTTATCCAGAAGGTGGAGGCATCTTGAAATCATCCAGAATGGTCATCTCTTGGAATGTGTGTATGTGATTAGTATCCCAGACCCATCCTTCTTTGTGCTGATACTTGAAGCTTGGAGTGATCCATGGCTATACCATTCACTTGATATCTACCATTTATTGTCTTATATTAATACTTATAATTTTTTAATTTTAGAAAAATTTAAACATGCAAAAGTAAGTAAAGTACTATATAATTAACTCCAATGTGCCCATCATTCATCAACAATTCTCAAACCATCGCTCAATGTATTTAATCTATATTTCTTATGATTTCCTGAGTATCATTTATTATCTATCTCTGATCTATAAGAACTGCTTAATACTTCTTTTCAAGTATATGATTATTAAACTGTAAGTTCTGTTGGTTAAGAGGAGATTCTGGTGATACAGTGTACAGCATGGTGACTTTTGCTAAGAGAGTAGATCTTAAATACTCTTACTGCATAGACACCAAAAAAAGATAACTATGTGTGGTGATGAATGTGCTAATTAATTTCATTATGGTAATTATTTCATAATGTATACATTTATCAAATCACCACATTGTATACCTTGTGTATACATAATTTTTTAAAATCGTACCATAATAGTGCTAGGTAGGAAAAAATAGGAAAGAATTGAGTTTTTTTTAAACACTATAGTTTTAGTACCCTTGGGCATAGTGGATAAATTCTGTTTGAATCATTGAAAAAACGATTTTTTTGAATTATTGAATGAGGAGGGAAAATGAATGAATATGTCATGAGGAATCAAGGAGTACCCAGCTAGGCCACTGATTTGGCCTGGTAGGCAGAAGACATTAGCATAAACCTATTCAAGTGAGGTGGCATCAACCATGCCATGCCAGATCACCCAATGAAGAAACTCTCTTTATATCAAAATAAAGCCATCCAAAGTTAGCAATGGAAGGAGTTTGATGGATGTTCATTCAGAATCCCTTGTTTGTACAACTTTTGGAGCACCTTAGGGGATAACTCCTGTCCTCCACCAGACAGTACTTGGTCGTCCATATGCACTCATCAATCTAGCTATTCTGATATTCTGAAGAATTAAGTAGGTACCATTAGGACAAAGACTCTACCCATTCCTTGGTTATCTACTTTTAAATAGGTATTACTTTTCACTATTATATGGAATTTGCTTATACCAATAAAAAGAAATCTCTGGAGCAATGGGAGGGCACTTCTTCCTTTTATTTTTATTGTAAGTCAGTGCACACACACACTCACACACAGGCTTCTGTATTTATCTTTTTTTATTATTTTTGGTTGTAATTGGACACAATACCTTTATTTTATTTGTTTATTTTTATGTGGTGCTGAGAATCAAACCCAGGGGCTCACAAGTGAAAGACAAGTGCTCTATCAATCAGCCACAACTTCAGCCCCTGTATTTATCTTTAATTAAAGTGAAGATTCTATAAGTCTGGAAGGTCTCAAACCATTTTCCTGGGAGTACTTCCTGTGCCAAATATTTATTATGAGCATTTATTATGTGCCATCTGTTTTATACTAAGTGGATCCCATGCTGCATTCATCAAGACTCTTTTGGTTGGAAGGGATAGAAGCCCAACTCACATTAGCATAGGCATTGATTCACTGAGAGGGCAGAGGTGGAGCTCCAGGAACAACCAGGTCCAGGAATGCAAAGTCTATAGAATCTCTTCTTTTTATCTCTGCTTCATTCTGTGCAATGCTGCCATCTCTGTAATGTTGGGACTTTGGCTACAGGAAACTCTGAATTTAAACCATTAGAGTTTTATACCAAATAGAAAATATAATATTCAAGTCCAACTTCATTGACAATAATTTAAGCATTCCCAGGATAGTTTTCTGATAAACCTGACTTGGGCCTCTTGCCTATCCCTGTACCAATCCTTGGGGAGAGGGGAATGAAGTATTATAATTGACCCAACATGTGGCACAACCACATGGCCAATTGGATTCTATGGCTGGCAGGGGCCTCCAGAAACCATTTGGCTTGAATGGGGGAAGAACAGGTCCACAAAAGAAGGGGACATTGTGAACGGGGCTTACTAATGAATGTTATGTCCACCTTAGTATACTGCATCAAGTCATGTTCACAATAATCCAATGGAGCAAATAGTATTTATAGATAAGGATTTTGTGGGGAAACAGGAAGGTTAAGTATTTGAACAAGGGCACACAACTGGTAGGCAGCAAAACTGGGATTCCACTCAAGTCTACCTAACTCTAAAGCTGCTCCACTGTACAGCTATTTCTGTCTTGATGAATTTCTTCTCAGTCTGTGTGTCTTACTGTCATAAAGCCATTAAGACAGAATGTTCCAAGTTTGCACATGAGACAACACCTTCAGTCCCTCTGTCCTCTAGGAAAGATCATCTTGGCACTGAGGACTCTTTGAGGATCCTGCTTCCTTCTTGAGTAATTTGCTTAAACAAAAATGGGGATTTATTAGGCCACTTAACTGGGCCGGTGTGCCTGGACCTGGTGCTTAGAATAATGTGGTCTCTTTCCTCCCCATCTTTCAGCAAGGCTCTCTGTGCTAGATATACCTTCAGATAGGTCTTCTGCATGGTATGGGAAAAAACATGCCTGACAGCCCAAACCCTCAAAAGAAAAAAAGACCATTTTCTTCTCTATGCATCCATATATAAATGTTGCAAAAGGGCTCTAAGCATTTGCCTATTGTGTTAATCAGTTTTCCATCACTATGACAAAATACCTGAAATAATCAATTTATGAGGAGAAAAGATTCATTTTGGTTTAGTTTCAGAGGTTGCAGTTCATGCTTGCTTGACCCTGTTGCTTTGGACCTGTGGTGGCACAATACATTATGGCAGGAATGTGGCAGAGCAAGCCTTTCCACCTGTGGTGACCAGGTAGCAGAGAGACAGGAAGGAGTCAGGGCTCTAAAATCCCCTTCAAGAACACAGCCTCAGTGACCTAACTCCCTCCCAATAGGCCTCTTAAAGATTCCACCATTTCCCAGTAGCACCATAGACTGTGGACCAAGCCTTTAACACTGGGGCCTTTGGAAGGCATGCAAGATCCAAACAATAGCACTTGTATTACTGACAAACACTCCAGGACCATAGAAACTCTGGGAGGGGGTGGGCCAACCCTAGGAAGGTATGCTGGCAGTCAAAAACATTCCATGTCGCTGGGTGTGGTGGCACACGCCTGTAATCCCAGCAGCTTGGGAGGCTGAGGCAGGAGGATCGCAAGTTCAAAGCCAGCCTCAACAACAGGTAAGGCACTAAGCAACTCAGTGAGACCCTGTCTCTAAATAAAAATTAAAAAATAGGGCTGGGGATGTGGCTCAGTGGCTGAGTGTGCCTGAGTTCAATCCCTGGTATCAAAAAAAAAAAAAAGTTACATGTTAACTCCTAACAAGGTGGAATCATTAAAGCATAGAGCTGTGCCCTGTTCTGCCTCTTCCTGTGTCCCCTGGTATCTGGTGTGGACATTATTAGCAGTTATTACATTGCCTAGTCATTGTTACATCTTATTTTCCTCAGCAGGCTGTTAATGTTGCAGAACCAGGATTTTGCCTTTCATTTTGACATCCCAGCATCTAGCATAGTGCCTAACATATGGTAGCAGCTTGATAAATATTTATTGAAGGAATGAATGTAATATATTGCTATATTTTATATGGTTTACAAAGCATTCTCCAAAGGTCTGGTATGTACTGCAATAATAAGGAATTCTAATTTGAATGCCATTGCATAATTTAGAAGGTAAATTGTAAGTACTTTGCCAAAAAAATTTTCTGTATGCACCTCACTTTGACCATGAAAAGTTATGTGCCACATCTTACAAATCTCATACTTTGATGGGTACACAGGAGGATGAGGGAGGTCATCACAGGGGTGGGAGACAGAATGCAGCCAGTAAGGAGCTACTTCTTGTGGAGAGGTGAGTTAACCAAGAAAATCGGCAAACCTTTCCAAGATGATGGTGGGTGATAAGTTCCTTCCTTCAAACTGATGCTCAGGTGCTCCCTGGGCTAGAATCTGGCGTCCTTTCAGGGTTCCCTGGAGGAACTTGGGGGATATATTCAGAGCAGGGTTAGGAAAGTGACAAGGAGAGGAGCTAAAAAAACATGATGTGTGTGGAAAGGTTAAAGGCACTGGGATGACTCAGGAGAGAGAGGAGAGGGCTGAGAGGAAACTGAATCATTTTCTTCAAGACAAAGAAGGGCCGTCGCCCAGGGATGATGGCCAGCTGTCCTCCTTTGCCTCTGCATGCAGAGCAAGGGGAAACGGGCTTAGACCGGAGGCAGGGCTAAGATTAGAGAGCAGGAAGAACTTGGCAGTGAAGGATGTTGTATAACCTACTTTTCGAGACAACTTGGGGACTGAGGAGACTCCCACACTCCTGGTCTGGGCCCAGTGGACATGAATGTGGGGTTGATCTGGCTGGCTGGCTGCGAACGGAGGAGGAGGTCCTGCGGCTGCATCTCTCTTCGTGTCCTCGATTTCCCGTTGGAAGTTAAGTTCCCAAATTTTGGAGCTGGCAAGGCAGCACCTCCCCCACCCACCACGCACTGCACCAGTGTTCCTGGGCTGGGTAATAATGCCTGTCATTTCCTTTCCCGGGGGAGTGGGGCTGCAACCGCCCTGACAGCGCCGAGGGATTGAAGGCAACTAAAAATAGTGCATTAAATATAATCTGTTGAGGGGCACATTTGCATTGCTTGTCTTCCCCCCTTGCCTGTCTCTTCATCCTTCCTGGCACACCAGGCCTGGGTCTAGCTCTGGGCACTCAGAATCAGGTTCCAGGCCCCAGCTGTCTCTTTTTGTGGCCATAGGGTTCTTTTGACAAGAGGTTAAAGGGAGCAAATCCATAAAGTACAGTCGAGGGTCGTCAGGGGCACCCCCTGCCTCTCCTCCCCATTCCCCTCTCACCCCCAGGGCCTTTGGGTCCTTCAGGGCCCTGGTGTGCAGGAAAAAGAGCTGGAAGTGGGGGAGGCAGTGTTGAAAAGGAGAGCCAGCCAGGCTTTGTTCTCCCATCAGCCACTTCCGTCTGCTACACAATCTCTCTGAGGTTAAATATTAATTAAGAGCAGAATGACAGTGAGAACTCAGCAGTGTCACTTTCTGTCCCAACATAAATGCTAATTTCCTTGCAGGTATAAAGTGACTTTGGAGTGGGATTGGCAGCCCAGGGAGAATACCTGGGGAGGGGGAAGAAAGCGAGGAGAGATGGGTGGTGGTGGCAGCCCTGCATCAGAACAATTAAGAGGAACCAGACAGGGAGGGTAGGGGTGCTGGCAAAAGGGAAGCAGGGCTTGTCAGGTCACAGAGGACAAAGTCACAGCACAATACTGGGTTCTCCCCCACTTTAATAATAGTAATCTAAGAAATTGGGGTGGTGCTGGCTCCCCACCTTCCCTAAGGGGAGGTTTTTTAGTTTTATTTTGATGAAAAAGCTCTTTTGATTTAAACACAACATACAAAGCAACAGGAATTAAATAAATAATATAGATGGCCAATAGTTGAAAACATGTCTCCTCCCACTGTGTACCAGAGCTGCAGAACAGTTGATGGGGTCCTTTTGCATCTCAGAGACTGTCTTGACAAAGTCTAGAACATACCAGGTTACTTGTGTGTTCCATTGTAAGGCAGGTTTTTTTTTTAATTAAAAAATATTTTTTTTATTTTTTTTGGTACCAGGAATTGAACCCAGGGGCATTTAACCACTGAGCCACATCCCTAGCCCTTTTTAATTTTTAAAAATTTTTTTAAAACATAAATTTTTTTAGGGACTGGGGTTGTGGCTCAGTGGTAGAGAGTGCTTGCCTCACATGTGTGAGGCCCTGGGTTCAATTCTCAGCACCGCATATAAATAAATGAATAGAATAATGGTCTGTCAACACTAAAAAATATTTTTAAAAAAACATATATTTTTTAGTTGTAAGTAGACAAAATACCTTTATTTTATTTTTATATGGTGCTGAGGATTGAACCTAGCGCCTCATGCATACTAGACAGGCACTCTACCTCTGAGCCACAACCTCAGGCCTGCCCCCCGCCCCTGTTTTTTTTAATTTTGAGACAGGGTTTTGCTAAGTTACTTAGGGCCTCACTAAATTACTGAGGCTGGCTTTGAACTTGCAATCCTCCTGCCTCAGCTTCTTGAGCTCTGGCATAAGGCAGGATTTTAAAAATGCAGTCTGAAGACTAGTTTCAGGACTCATAAAACCTGGAAATTTGGGGCTGGGGTTGTGGCTCAGTGGTAGAGCGTTCGCCTAGCACACGTGAGGCCCTGGGTTCAATCCTCAGCACCACATAAAAATAAAATAAAGGAATTGTATCCATCTACAACTAAAATATGTATTTTAAAAAAATCTGGAATTTTTTTGAAAAACTGTGTGTACATAAATAGTTTTGGCGGGGGAGAGTTGGGGATTTCTAGCAAGGCTGGTATGACCCACAGTATCATGCTCAGTACATGGTACCCGTTATTGAAATTATCTTATGATTCCAGATGACTGCTAGAGTCTTAGCTGAGATATATTCTGGGTAAGAAGCAGGAAAAATATGGGGAATGGAAGCAAGAAAATAAATCTCCCTATAATGAGTTTCCCCAGAAATTCATTTCCTTCTTTTTGTCCATAACTACCTGCAAGAGAGACTGGGAAATATATTTTAGCTGACTATGTTGTAGCTCCATATAAAGCATTGTTTTTGTCAATTAGAAAAATGAGAAAAGAATGGTAGAGACTAGGAACTTCTGTTGTAATCTTTGTCTCAAGACAAAGAATGTCTGATATGAGGGAGGGAGATCTTGGGAGGGTTCCTAGCCCACCTCCCAGAAAAAGCTGACAGCAGGAAGAAGACTAGCATTGGAATGCCTGCTTTGGGTTTGGGTTGCATCAGTCACTCCTAAGCTGATAGTTGATCTTCAGAAGTTGGTCATCCTAAGTGAGGCTGGGAGGGTTAGCCTCATACTAAGGACTGGCTGTTTGAAAGGAGGCTAAAAAGAGGTGACAGTTGTATTGAGGAATGAGGCCCTGTAGGGGGCTTTGCAGTATGTGTCTAGGAACAGCTTTGGTCTCTGATCTTCTTCCTAGAAGCACTTTACTTCCTATAGCCTCCTAGAAGAAGTGGCTAAAGAGAGGGCAGACATTTTTTTTTTTCCTTTTTCAGGAACAATGCAAATGGGGAAGGGCATGGGTGTAGGCATGGAGGGGTGAACTAGCCAGTTTTCCTGGTTAGGGCTCCAGGTGTGTATGTTGCAGGATGTATTCAATTCAGTCCGTTTTTCTTAGGTCTTTGTGCTTGAGACAAACTGTTATATCTGGTTGGAATGAACATCCCATGGTAGACTCTCAGTTCTTCTTCAAGAGTCCATTCCATGAAACTATTCCTGATTTCTCTTGTACATCCTCTCTATTCCTCGACACTACCCCAGGAACCTTTTTGTGATTCTGTGATCCTTTGTGTCTTCATTGCAACACTTACCACATGGTTTAAAACTATCTGTGTCTTCTTCCACCGGGCTGAGAGCTCTCTAGTGATAGAGTAGGTTTTATGACCACCTATGGCCTACAACTCTTAGTTGGGCTTAATATGTGTTTAATGGAAATGTACAAATTTTAAAGTGGTAATGAGCATCTATGTTGAGCAAGAGTAGATAAATAGGGAGTTTACACTAGAAGTGACCTAGACACTGGCTTCTAGGAGTTCACTGTCTAGTGGAGGAGAAAGAAGATTAGATTACTGATTTGACAAAAAGGTAAATGTGAGAAGGTTGAGGGATTGTTAGAGCAGGGGAGGGATAGATTAATATAACACAGAAGGGAATCTAGGAAGGCAACACCGATTGTACGAGGCCTTTGTAGAAAAGTTACTCATTTGTTTTTAGGGAAGTGCCTGGAGAGAAGGAAAAAGGAAAAAGAAGAAAGTAGGAATCATCTTTGGACATCAGGTGTTTTGGGGTTGGACCATCCACATGGGATCTGAAGTATTTTTTTTTTTTAAACAGGGGAAAACCTGGGCCGTGTATGCATTAGATTGATTTTAAGCGTGATCTTTGCTTTTCCTGGAAGAAGACTGCTGTTGTGCTCCTGTGTGGCTTGGGAGTGATTGTGAATGTGCCAGGAGTGTCAGTACCAGGAGATGGTGCTACTCATGGAAGCAGAGGTGAGAGGCCTGGGTGGGGATAGGGTCTGGGATGATTGTCACTTTAGCCTGAGTGTTAAGGATGCCCACAGGGAAGGAGGACCCATGTTAGGTTCTTCTCTCACCCTTTCCCTTTCTGTCTCTCTTAAAATACCCTGTGTTCCTGCAGCAGTGCGGCTGCTAATCTAAAATAAAAACAGCAGGAAATGCAAATGGTCAGGTTCTCCTAGCAACAGGAGCCAACCCACGCAGGGCGTGTGGAGCAGATCAGAACTGTCCTGAGGCTGAACATGGGTGGCTAGGGTGAGATACCAGTCTCCTCTTCCAGCTGGGCCTCTACAGCTTTTGAGAAGGACTGGCTGGTGAGCAGCCTCTTGCTGTGCAGAAGAAACCCTCTGTGAGCTGGACTGGGCAGAGGACCCCATGCCAGGAAAAGGTGTAGCAGCGAGAGGGAGAGGAGAGAGCAGTTTGAGATAACCTGACTGCAGAAACTGGGTTGTACCTTGCAGAGAACCAATAAGGTTGTCTTGCATGACTTGGTGCGAGGCTGGAAAGGGCTTGCATCTGTATGAATGATTCTGTGAGTCCACTTCAGTAATAAAGCTTTGTCATCCTAAGGTTATGAAATGAAAGGAGGTAGAAGATGGCTCAGATTCCTAGGTGAGGGAGACAAATCCGGAGACTATAAAGACTCTCCGAGACTTCTGGTTCAATTCCCTTGTTACAAATGAAGAAACTGAGGTCAAGAGAGGTAAGTGAATTTCCAAGGACACAAACCTAATTAGTGGTGGAGGTGGAATTGGAAAACAGGTATCCAGGCAGAGACACTTCATTTTAAGTAGAAGCTGCTGACATTCCTCCTCTGCTCACAGCTAGATAATTAGAAGCCATGATAACCTTGCTGGGCCTGGGCAGGGAGGTGGGGAGAACAGTCATCTTAGGCACTTCCAGTAAAACTGAAGACATTTGAGAGACAAATGGGAACCACAGCCCGCATAGAGTGTGATGCAAAATTGAGCACCTAAAAGTGACAGGAGCATTGGCTATGGGTAGAAACAATTGCCGCGTGGCCCCTGCCTGTTGCTATGCACAGGCACTCGTTGGGGGGTCTTTTCATGGGAAAGGGGAAGAATATCACAGTATCAAGGTTATGTAGCAGGGAACTGGAGAAGGTGGCAGGACTTGCTCAAGATGACAGACCCAAGTGTTTGAACTTGGAAGAGAATCTGGAAAAGATCCGATTCCTTGGATCCCAGTGAAGTCCCTGCACCCTAGATGGTGTGGATCCCTATTACATAAGCAAATCTTTCATTACTCACACTCTGGCTTCCTCCTGCAAGACTCCTACATCTCCCTAGAAAACACAGTGAAGAAAAGGGTTCTTAGTTCCAGCTGAGTACTGGGGGCTTGAGTACATGGCTGCTCCTAAGGATTCCAAGGTAGTAAGGAGGGTGGATGACAGCAATGGATCATGTTAGGAAAACTGATGGACTCAGAGTTTGATTCCAGAATGATTGGCCTGTGTGTAATCTATATACATATATCTGCATGCTTCACTTCCCCCCATGGCCCCGTGATTCCCCAGAGCACTTAAGAATGTCCTAACTCTCAGTCTTTCCATTCTGTCCCACCCTTCCTGGACAAAGTCCCAACAGAGGTAGTCAGTTGATGAATAGCCGGAAGGAATATGGGCTTTGGTATTTGCTGCCTGGGTTCAGTTTCTAGCTTAGGAACTATACGACCTTAGAAAAATTTGCTGCTGAGTACTGGATTCTTTATCTGTAAAATGAGAGCAATTATGTCTATTGCCTAAATGTATGTGAATTGCTAGCACAGCCAGACATACAGTAGGCACTAAACAAATGTTGGTTTCTACACTTTTTACTTGTGGTTGCAGTTGCTCAAGGACCAGGTGGGAATTTTCACTGTTATTGCCAAGTTAGGGAATGCTATTTTCCAGGTAGCCCAAGATGGAGTGCAGAATGCAGTTCTCCCACACTCAAAAATTACTTTACCTTTATTATTGATTAAATAGTTTTCATGGGTTGATCTGGGAATGTCACGTCCGTGTCTGTTTTTTTACTGTCACATCCCTAGCACCTGGTATGGTTAGAACTCAATAGACAATTGTCGAGTGTTGTTTATATGAGAAAAGGCATTTTAAATTATAAATAACCAGTGGAAAAAAGAGTATCTGAAATATATAATGAGTTCCTAAGTCCGGTTCACTTATAAGATATATTTGGTCAGGAGGCCCAGGGTAGGTTCCTGATGTGCTAGTGAGTCTACCAACCCATGACCTGTAGCTCAGACCCTGGACAGCTCCTTGGATCAGTCAAGACAATAAGGCTGCAGGAATTTCTGTGAATGGATTGTGTGTGTGTGTATGTATGTGTTATTGCCAAAAGATCTCTGAGGGGCTGTTGGGGCCACTAAAGTGGGTAATCAGTCTTGGCCTTGGCAACTCCACTCTCTATCCCAATCTTCCAGCAGCACAGATAAAGGGCGTGTTCAATTCAAGTCTCTTCCAAGGCATTTGTTTTTTCCTCTTAGTTGTGAACATCCACCCACATCTCTGTTTGTCTCTCTTGAACATGTGCGCACACACATGAGTTTGGGAATTGATTCTGCCGTTTTAACTTCAAATTCTGTTTCTCAAATGTGGATAGTGCCAGTTCATTTTTTGTTGTAAATATCAATGTTCCACTGCTGAAATGGTAGCTCCTTGTGTGTTTAGGGGCTCAGCAGGAGTGATGGCCTCCACATTAGTCTGCCGGGAAATCCCAGAGGCATCATAGCTGTGCTCTCAGCAGGTGAGGTCCCAAGGAGATCATAGCTCACTCTTCAGAAGAGTGCACCTGCAGAACTCATTGGCCATCTCCTGGAGCCCCAGACTCTCCAGTGTTTAGATCGTTTTCTTTTTTTTTCTCACCTTGAACACATTATAAACTCGCAAAAGGGATCAAAATTTTTGACTTCTTAATGAGAAATGGAGTGTTTGACTTTACCATTTTCCTTTCTAAAATAAGGGTCTTTTGCTCCCTGGAATCAGGCTACCTGGTATCATTCTCTGTAAAATTGGTGGCGAGTAAGAAAATTGTATTTCTCTTCATGGGTGGGAAATCGGGTCAAGCTCTGCAAAGGTATAGAAAACTCCCCTGGGATGTGGGGAGTGTATGTTCTGGTTTCTACCCAGAAAAACTATAGAGGAAAACTGTGGCTGCCTACTACTGAGTATCAGGGGGGAAAGCAGAGATATTTTTAACATACGGAATATCAGTGAACAGAATGCTAAGGAACTAGAAAACTTATTCCAATAAATATGAAGCATATGCTGTGCCCAAAGCAAACCCAGCTTTTGCTATATACAAATTTCACAAAGGAAAAAAAAATGTCGGAAATTGCAAAAATATCTGACCGTAAATGGGCTACTACCGCCGGCTGTAGGACACCTGGAAGGCTGCACAGATGGACTGGGAAGAGTGACTGGTGGCCCAGAGTGTGTGGGATCCTTGGCCATCTTATGTGGCATGTCCAGGGCTCCCTAGCATCTTAGGGGCCACAGGTTCCAGATCGATGTACCCCCCACACCCCCAATTTGTTATGTTGGGGTGTGTCACTGACAATCAGAATATCATCTCTAGTTTCACTACCCTGAATCCTCAAACACATGAAATGCCTGTTTCAGTGGCACAGATTCCTGGGCTTAGCAAAAAATGGCACTTTGGGTTTTATGCGACGGGTTCTTCCTCTTCCAACTAGGAAAGGCAATTTGTATTCATCTCATTAGCAAGATTCTAGTAATTGGGAATATTAATTTTATTGCTAAACCTGACAAATATTTGACTCTCTCCTGTAGTGGGTAATTGCATCCCCAACAGCCTCTGCTTTTGTGCAGCCAGATGGAAAGGATGTGTGTTTGCCATTTTCATTAATACAATTAGTACCTTAGCATCTCGCCTGCCCCCTCCTTAGCTGCGCACTCCCTGGGACAGGGAGTGGGGAGGGGAGATGCATCAGGAGGCCTGCCGGGCCAGGAGCTGGGGAGGCTGTACAGAAGGGCGGTGGGAGAGCTGCTGGGAACCTCTGCGGAGAGCCAGTGAGCACAGCGCAGGAGGCGCAGCGCTGCCAAACTCTAAGCCACAACAACAACAGCGCCGTCACTGACAACTGTGGGGTTCGTGGTTCGGGGAGCAACAAATCATTATGCTGCCTAAAACTCCCCCTGCATCATCTTGGTCCCAGAACGGCTCCCCACACAAAGGGCACCACGCGCGCGTGGGCGCGACTGCCACCCTGCCTCTCCTGCAACCTGACTGCTGCCACCCTGCTGTCGCGGCCACTCCCACCCAGCTGTCCCCACCCTCTGACTCTTTTCGGCTCAGGCTCTGCGGCTCCGCTGGGAGGTGCTGGAAGCCTCCTCAGGCTTGTTCCCTTTTACTTGGGAATAGGCACAAAAATCTTGTGCTGGCTGCTCGGTCTCCATATTGCTCTGGAATCACTCCCTTCTCCATTCCCACTCTGAAGGCTGCTAACTTTGCCCAGTATTTACTATGCTCTTCACCCAGGTTCCTCAGCCATCACAGGACGCCCATGGCAGATGCTCATTTCTGATACCATTCCTCTCTTGGAGAGAGGGAGGCAATGGCAGAAGCCATGTGGTAGATGGGCTTCACTTCAACCTGTGTCTCCAGATACCTTTCTGAAAGTCTGAGAAGGGATGTCCACCTCTCACTGGCTGTTTGTTGAGACTTCCCTGGCTCCTGTCTTACCCAGCTCTGTCTCTGGTAATAAATATACTACAGACTGGTTGCCTTAAATGATAAACATTTATTTCTTGTAGTTCTGGAGGCTGGGAGGTCCAAGAGCCAGGTGCTGGCTGATTCTGTGCCTGATTAGAGGACCCTCTTCTTGATTTGCAGACAACAATCTTTTGGTTGTATCCTCCCATGGCAAGCAGTGTGTTGGGGGGAGAGTGAAAGCAAGCTGTACTTCATCTTCTTAAAAGGGCACCAACCTCATCATGAGGGCCCCATCTTTATTACCTAATCATTTCCAAAGGCCTTATCTTGAAATACCATTCCATTGGGGATTAGGGGTTAATATGAAATTTGTGGGGACAAAATCATTTGGTCCATAGGAGCTCCCATCTTTTCATAGCTGTCAGGAAGAGGGGTATATGGTACCACTTATATTCAACCTTGCCATAGCCTGAGGTAAGGCAAAACTAGACAGGACACCGTATCCCACTCTTTGCCTTCCTCTGGCTCTCAGTGCTGCTTTGGGGACTGTTAGGGAGGAGTCCCAGAGAGAAGCTATCTCTAGGACTGCCACAGCCTGCGCCAAAGCAGGAGTCTATGCTTCAAAGAACTGTGACTGTTTTGGAATAGAACCAGTTTTTTAAAAAATCGTCCTTGGTTCTGGATGTTTTCACTATAAAGAAATGATAAATGTTTTGAGGAGATGGATATGATCACCTTGATTTAAACATTTAAAATGTTTACAAGTATCAAAATAATACATGGGCTGGGAACAGTGGGGCATGGCTTTATGTAATCCCAGTGGCTCTGGAGGCTGAGGCAGGAGGATTGAAAGTTCAAAGCCAGATTCAACAACTTAGCAAGGCCCTAAACAACTTTGGGAGATCCTGTCTCAAAATTAAAATAAAAATACAAAGGGGGGATGTAGCTCAGTGGTTAAGCGCCTTTAGGTTCAATCCCTGGTACCAAACCAAACCAAACAAAACAACAC